CGCAATATGGTTCATGGGGTCATGAAGAGTCGGACACGACTTAACGACTAAACAACAACATTTAGATAAGTGGCTTTAACTGGGCCATCAAGTGCTTGTAACTCACAGATGTCCCAATGTCCAAATTAGAACGCTAGATACTGAAGTAAAGCTACCTACCTGTATGATCTGTGGGGGGGAAAAAACAGTTATTGCCATTCATTTTATATTAATTTTTATTAAACCACTTCACTTTGCCAAGGTTCTGAGCTTCATTCAGTCCACCTCATTGAAATACCACATTTTACACAAAAAAAAGTTCCCAGGTTAAGGCTCAGGATTTCCCTCCTTAAAAGTAGTAAGGGATGGGAAAGGAATCACAGGAGACAATCTGGAATAATTAGGCCTAGCACTGATCACTTGCCAAGGTTTTTCTGTTTCTTGTGTTTTAACAATGTTGTCTGATTCATTGTATTTATTCTAACAAAGGTTAACAAAGTATGAATATTTACAAGACGCAATACTGCTTGGTGCAAGTTCAATACAAAGGGAAATATTTACTTTACTAGGAAATCAGATCTTTCATTTGGTTTTTTGCCAATCAGCGTTGGCACCAGGATAACAATAAGTCTAGAGAAAACCTCCTTTGGTTCCTCCAAGATCTCTCTTTTAGATTATTGTTTAAATTAAAAACAAAAATTAAATGAGAAGTTGACATGTTAGCTTCCAGCATCATTGTTATTTCCAGGAATATCTCTGGGTCCCACCTAGATGTCACAGATATTTCTAGAAAATAAAATGAGTGGGGGGTTGCAACCCAGTGATTTCTGGGGAAGTGTCCCCACCTGCTCAGAAAAGAAGACAAGAGTAAGATGGGATGGTGAAGAATATCCTGTCAAGCTAAAGGGAAAAGTGGGAGCAACCTCCTTAGTCTGTCTTCTGATAAATAAATGTTTTGTGACTGAGTCAGCCTTACCATACTAACAAGTCTTTTACCTGTGGCTACTTTTTGTGGAATCTACCCTTTACTGACAAGTAACGGATTGATTTGATTAGATTTATACTGAACTTTCCTTAAAGAGCTCAAAGTGAAGTACAATTTTTTTCACCATCATAACCCCATTAGGTGGGTTGGGCTGTGAGGCAGTGATTTGCCCAAAGTCCCATAATGAGTTTCTATGACTTAAGATAGAATGTCATAGGTCCAACAGTTTTACCACTTTGAAATGTTGCCACTTCCTCAGAGTTTGTCCACTCCTGCTAAAAATGAAGTTAAGATGTCAGCTTATTTAAATTGGAGGGGGGCTGCTTTTTTCCAAAAGAAAAACAAAAATACACAATGAATTCTTATTAATAAGGTCTTTCTTATTGGCCTTCTGGTCTAATACTATCACTATTGGGATGCAGAGCTCATGAAAAGTTGGCATGAATTTTCCTCTTGGAAAATTCAGAACAAATGTAAAGGAAGCCCTGCAAATCATATTAATAAAAAAAGGTCTTACCATCTCTGTACCATTCAACCCGAGGCTGGAGATGCTTCAGTTCTGGTGTGACCAAGAGGTTACATCTCAAAGTAAGTGTTTCCCCCTCCACACCAAAGGTGACTCCAAACCTCTCCAAAAACTGAACATCAAAATGGGTGAGACAGAGGTCTTCTGGCAGTGGCACTGGAAGGAACACAAGAATGAGTTAGCTGAAAAGACAATTGTTGGGATAAACCTTAGAAATTATTTAGGTGCTTTGATATGTTTAAGTGCCTTGAAGTGAAACAATGAGAGTGGATATTTATGCACTGGCTATAAAGCTGAAATCAGACTACTATTCTTCTTCCTCCTCCTCCTCCTCCTCCTCCTCCTCCACCTCCTCCTCCTCCTCCAAGTGGGACAACAAAGCCAGTGGCATAAGTATAGTGAAGGCAGTGAAGGCAGCTGCCTTACATCCACAGACATATGGAGTTTGCCAGATTCCCCCTAGCAGACGGCTCATTGTCTCAAGCCTTCCACAACCAGATTGCATGGGCTTGGTACTATTGTAGCTGGACTGCAAATATCCAGATGGCACTAGAGGGCAGCAAGGAGTTGAACTCTTTAAATCTTTTTGCTGCTGTGTGTATTGGTCATCTGAATTTTTGCATCTCCTATGGTTGCCCAAACGATGATCCCAAAAGGACCTGTGGCAGAAATGTGGTGCAGAAAAAAGAGCATGTGAGAGAACAGCTGCTGCTGCTAGGACCACCTCCTCCTCTGCTGATACGCCACTAATACTTCACTGCCACAGGAATACGCGGAGCCCTCCAAGGGCTTGGCGGTTTCTCTGGGAATTGCTCTGACCACTCTCTTCCTCTTTTTATAAAAGTATGAAAAGAGGAATCAAGATCATACATCCTGATCTAGCACTAGGTCAGGATCTCTAGTGTACTTTAGTCCTTTTCCCAGGACTAAAATTACCCATTTTCTTTTCTTAAATTATCTTGTTGCCTCATGAGGAAAATGATCCATTTATCTTGTTCATTCAAAAAGAAGGGTTAACAACCCTGAAAAGTGCTTGTTGAATAAAAATCTTGGTCCTATACATGGTATGAGGTAGGCTCCTTTTTCCCACTTTCGGTGTCTCACACCAAATTTAGTCCTAAATATGATGCCTGCCAAGTTGGATTTTGTGACCAATGTCTCTGATGGTTTTATTACCATTTAGAGACTTTTTACCTGCTGAATTGCATGTGGTCCTGCAGTAATTTAATAATAATTTATCCTCAATTTAATTTCTGCAGTGACAACCTGTTGTGCTAGAATCTCTTTTGGATATAATATCCAGTACCTATTTTATACAACAGTGTTCTTATCTTCTTGACTAGTTTGAGGCTTTTTAAGTATTTTAGATCCATAATCAATATTATAATTTCCCCAATCTCTATCTTTCAGTATCTCTCTGCTATAGTTATTATAAATAGTATGCTTGTCCACATGTTAGAGAGTAGATATAGCTATCAAGCTGTTTCTGCTATAATGTATTTGCCTATGTTCATATGTGTATTTAAAATAAAGTTGTTTTTTTAAGTATGAAAAGAGGAAAATAGACACACCAGATCTGGGCTGCAAAAACTGGATTACCATTAGATGGCAGCAAAGAGAAACAGAAAGCTCAGAATTAACTTATGGGAATCATCAGGAAGCTGAACGTGCAGAAAAAGCAAAGTAGAAGAATAGATGCTTCAGGTAGTATTATTTCAGGAAAAAATAGTTTCAAAATCTAGTAGGATTTTTTTTCTTCGGTATGGTATAAATTGTTTCCATTTCTCTGCACACATTAAGAATGTGGGTTTCCTTTAAATCTCTTGTGTTCTATAACATTAATTTGGCATTTTCTGCCCCATCTTTTGCTTTTTTTAATGGTGGCTTTGGAGCACTAACAAGTTATTTGTACTAGACCAGTGTATTAGACTTGTGGTTTGCCAGAAGCATTTAATTTTCTTTTGCAAATTTTATTTTAAACACATTGCTGTTTTTCTATAATCTGAATAGTTCTGTAATTAATCTTCTACACTGCTAGAATTGTGTGTTTTGAACAGTTAACGTCAAATGTGTTTTGATATTTTACCTCTTCTTTTTAAACAATAATATTTTATTTACTTTATCTCTTGTGAGATTGGTATATCTCCTAACGAAGGAGTAATACACCTCTAAGTTACATAGCCAGGAGGTTGCATTATAGAAGTTATTTTCATTCATTCATTCATTCATTCATTCATTCATTCATTCACCTTTTTATTGGCAGAAAGGCAGCACTAGATGTGAGAGTCTTAATTCCAGGGTCAGAAGGAAGACACCAGACCAGACACACCATGGAAAATCAGTGATAGCAGCAGGAATTATCAAGCCACGAACAAAGAGTAGGGCTCATGAATACCTAGATAGCTGATGTAGGAGGGAGTTTAATACTTCCAGCCTTCCACCCTGTACACCTGGCCATGTTCTGCTACATTGTGGCAAAGATGGGATTAAGTGAAACACTTCAAAGAGACCCTTTTTTTTTTTATCGTCTTTCTTTCAAGAATTTTTGAAAGGACATTTTTATTCTGTGCCTGAGCTAGAGCAGTAGGTAGTCATTTTTTTTTCCTTCTTGTTTGTTTCCTATTTCCAGCCTTTGGGTTCAATAGTCTAGTTAGGTTAACATTAGGAGCCAAGCTCTCCTATATGTTTTTTTTTAATAAGAACTTTATTATATTATATTAAGAATACAATTAAAAACAAAC